CCCCAAGTTGCTCTCTTATACTTTTCTCTAACAACCTCAGTACTCTTGTTTTCCCCAGTTTGCCTCTTGTACTGTTCTAACCTCTTTGCATTTAGCACCTATACCCAATCTTGCTCCAATCAATGTTTATATGTTAATTCATAAGATCATATTCGATGTTTGATTTCTTCTTTTTTAATTCTCGATTTTTCTTTATAGTTTCATTTATCGTGTATCCTCATTCATTATAATATGATTATCTGCCTTCATTTGTGCATATATTTTGTTTGTACTTTTATTTACATGTATATAACTTTATCTAACATGGTGCATGGTGGCTCAGTGGTTAGAGCGCCCGCCTCAAGTTCGTGGGTTCGAACCCCGGCCAAGTCATACCAAAGACTTTTAACAATGGGACCTTCTGCCTTAGGCGCTCAGCATAATATTATTAGATTGGAGAAGGGTAGTAATAACATAATGTTATGCAGGGCCCGCTGGAAGAGCAGTTTAATAACTGAAGTGGATACCCTGCGTAAATAAAACGTTATTATTATTATCTTCTATTTATCATTATTTATGTTTATTTCATATAGGCCTACATGTATATAATAAATAGAACAAATAATTTAATGTAGATATTCCTCCGTCACGGCGATATACAAATAATAATAAAAATAATTGAAATGAAAATCCTTGAGAGTTCTATTCTTCACTATACTGACCAGTTTCATTTTTATTTCTTCAGATAGTGAATTCTAAATCAAAATTTACAAACAAATGCAACAAAAATTACAAAATGTAATCAAATAATGCGTATATAATTTTTTTAAATAATATATCTTTTTTGGCATTTTGTTCTTTTTCAGCAATAAACAATAAGAATTTAAAGAAGTTGTTCTTTCAAAGATATGTAATATATATAATTATCTTTGTTTGCATTTTGTTCTTTTTCAGTTTCAGTTTCAATTCAGTTTATTTCACATTTCACATTCACATTAATTACATAAATCATATAATAAGCAATAAACGATAAGAATGAAACAAAAATGTTCTTTTAATAAGTGTAAAAATCCATACAACAATATCAGGTCATGAAAGTAATAATACAGTCGAAATAACACACGGAGAAATATACATACGATTGCATGGTATTTAAACTGAAATTAATATAATAATCTATAGTAAAAAGCTAAGCTTGTAAATTGTAGATTCCCTTGAATAAATAAGAGCAGTCTATTGAGCATGTAGATTATGAGGGAGGCGAAAATAAGTATTTCATTATAAGTATTTTTTTTGTATTGTATTTTCTTATGTATACATAATTAGTACGCATTATGTTAAAGCACGGACTTGCAGAAGAACAGCCATTGTTGGCTAAAGTAAGTGTTTCCGTGCCGAACTTTAAAAATGAAAATGAAAGGAAAATCTTTCCCAAATCGTCATATTTTTTATCCACCGTTACGCAGGTTATTATTTACTGGTAGGCCTAATTGATAAAATACACTTTATTTTGTTTGATATTCAGATCATCATCTGGTATACATAAAAGGGCAATCCAACCCTTGTAATAAGTTCATTTGTATAAAAGCAGAAAAATAAGAGAAACAAAATGTTGAAATAATTCGAACAAAATATAGTATGAATGTTCGATATAATTATGAGATCACTAGAGCTATGCGAATCTCAAATTACAAATCTGTCGGTAAAGTAGTCACAATCCAACCCGCCCACTTTTCTTGTATACAAATAATTAGATATCATTTTCTGTTTTCCTTGGTTCCGTTTTTTTTGTTGGTCCTGCTTTCTTCTAGAGTTGTTGGCTATTAAGGTTAGATTTATTCCCTTTAATATAAGATTTATTCAATCTTATGTCTCTCTTAATAATATTTATCGGATCCGGTAGTGGATGCGCCCCGATACCCCTTTTCCTTCCCAAAAAACTTGTACCGTTTGGTTTGCCTAGTACCCCCCCCCCCCGCCACCAATTAGTGTTATTTAGGGTACGCATATGCTCGTTCCCTCTTTTTGAAAGCACGGCCCCCTATCTGAGGACTGCCAACATTTTCCGAAACCCCCTTTTGCAGGCTTTTCGCGGGCTTTTCCTGCCTTGGAGACCCCCCTAAATCAGGAAAAATGCTCAATGTACCCCCCCCTAAATTTGGAATAATTTCTCAGGAGTCCAAAGAGATGAGAGAAAAAAAAAAGAAAAAACACCCCTTTTTAAAGAAATCTCCGGGTGAAAAGTCAAATACACCCTTTTTTTTTTTTTACAATTCTCGGGCCGGACTTCGTCGCACGAAAAGTACCCCTTTGGCAACACGCATGCGGTCATTCCGACCCCTGAGTGGGGGGCCGGGGCCTAGTATAAGGGCGGGTGCTTGTCCCAGGCGCGGATCCAGGATTTCTTAAGGGGGGGGGGCCCAAATTTGAAATAATGCAAGCTAAATATTGGTACGTAATGGTGACACCGGCAGTGGCAAAAACGTTTGGGGGGGGGGGGGGGAGGGGGTAGACAAAAAACAAATCTCCATCACCCCACTCTTACATGCAGGCCCCGCTGAACGTTTCTCGGCGGAGGTCAAGAGTGGAGCCCCCAGAAGCTCAGAAGGTATAGGCATTTAATTACTGTCAGATGAGCATATTTTGATACCTTATTAATTTTTGACACTGGCAAGACACAAATTGGTGTAGGGTCCAGGGGGCGAAGCCCCCGGAAGCTCAGGGGTTTTAGGCAATACATTACGGTCAGATGAGCATATTTTTATACCTTATTTGTGACACTGGCAGGACACAAATTGGTGTTGGGTCCTGGGGCGGTATTCTAAACCCTGTGTTATCTCTAATATTGTTGTATCTTTGAAGATAAGATAAAGTTGGTATTCTGAACATTGTTGTAACTTTTGTGTTATCTTTTGTTGTATCTTTTCTCTCATCTTATTGGCCGCGCCTGCGCTCATACTTTGGTGCGCTTGTAATTGTGCGTATTATTAATAAAGTGGCATTTAATTCTCATTTGCATATGCGCACGGGAGATTATGTCGAGATAATTGGTATTCTGAAAGTTGTTGTATCTTTTATCTTATCTTATCTTGCATGGTATTTACAACAATATTTACAACAGGTAGGGGGTTGTTGTATCTTTCGTGGTGATATAATGGCGGCAATATTTTTTGCCCAGAACCAACTTCGTGCCAATAGACGAGTTAGAAGAAGATTGTGTGTTGACCGGAAACATCACAGATGAGAACTTTCTAAGATATTACATGCTAGGATAGGACTATTTTAATGCTCTCATCTTAACCAATATAGTGAAAGCGTGATTTGTCTTCATGATCCACATTCAACAGCGCATAATGATGACGCGCGTAATAAGTGCTCAAATAACTAATTACGCCCAAGATTAGTATGCGCTAGGCGCATCTTCAGATATGGCATAAAGTATTCCTATTGGTTGATCTACTTATCATGCTTATATAAAATAGATTTTGATTGGTAGGGTCCATAAAAATGGGCGTGTCATCAATGGTCAAAGATAAGATAGAGGCGGTCCTTCAAGAGATAACACAGGGATAAAACAATGTTCAGAATACCAACTTACAACAATATTAGCGCTGTGTTATCTCTGGAAGATACAACAAAAGATAACACAAAACTTACAACAATGTTCAGAATACCACCCCAGGGGGCGGAGCCCCCAGAGGCGCAGGGGTATTATACATTAAATCATCGCCAGATGACCATATTTGTATACCTTATTTGTAACACTGGCAGATCACGAATTGGCCTGGGGGCAAGGGGGCGGAGCCCCCGGAAGCTCAGAGCTTTTGGGCAATAAATTACAGTCAGATGAGCATATTTTTATACCTTATTTGTGACACTGGCAGGACACTAATTGGCATGATGTCCATGGGGCCGAGACCCCAGGAGCTCAGGGGTTTTAGGCATTAAATTACCTTCAGATGATCATCCAGGTGCCTGACTTTGGGCGCTAGGTGAAATCCAGGGGGCAGAGCCCCGGGAGCTCAGGGTTTTTAGACATTAAATTACCGTCAGATGATCATCCAGGTGCCTGATTTTGGGCCCTAAGTGAAATCCAGGGGGCAGAGCCCCCGGAGGCTCAGGGGTTTTAGGCATTAAATTACCGTCAGATGAGAATCCAGGTGCCTGACTTTGGGCCCTAGGTAAAATCCAAGGGGCAGAGCCCCCGGAAGCTCAGGGGTTCTAAGGCATTTAATCGCGGTCAGATGAGCACTTTTTTTGTTGTTGTTTTCTTTCCCCTTTTTTTTGCCAGGGGGGGGGGGCGGCCCCCTGGATCCGCCACTGGCTTGTTCCACCCCTCACCCTTCTCCCCTCCTAATGTTCAGGTCATTTAATCGGGATTTCCTTTTCCTTGTAATTTTTTCAAGTTTACCTTTGATCTGCACATGCCCAAACCAAAGTAGAACCATAAAATAGACACTTTGGTCACTTGTAGTAGCTGAAACATTCATTTTGAAAATGTATTCAAAAGATCTAAGAAATGTTTAGCATTTTATCAAAGAACTTCCCTTTTTAGGGTTATTCTAAATTTTAGCCCACTTTTTAAATATTTTTGCATGTTTTATTCTGTATTGTATTTTTTTTATGAATGGTCGAATAAATAATATACAAGGGTACAGGCGCGTACGCAGGATTTTTTTTTTTTTTTTTTTTTTTGGGGGGGGGGGGGGGGTCCTAAAAATTTCGCTTAGATTTAGCCAACCGCTGAATAAGCGAGGGGGGGGGGGGGTAAGAGTACATTTTTGGGTCACCATTACTATAATTTTTATATTTTTGTTATATTTTGTATTATTATTATTATTTTTGAATTAAAAACAAAAAACAAAAGGGGGGGGGGGTCCTCCAAACACACATATCAAAAAGGTTAAGGGGGGGGGGGGGGTTCAACCCATCGACCATCAAATTAGCAATCAAATATTTTTGCAGCTGGTCTACATCACGCACGTCGATCATTCTAATAACAGCACATCTTTCTTTACACGCACACGTTTTTTTTACCGAGGCTTGGCTAGGCGTAACGCGTGAGGCCCATACGGTTGTTTTTGTTGTTGTAAAGACAGCACGGAACCTGATTTCATATTCCTGAGCTCTCAATTTCTAGTTTATGTTTTAGTTGCAGCTTTTATCCGCAGTTTAACCAAGAATATTACAGAGGTCTTTGCTAGGAATCTCACGAAGTCGCGGCTTGTTCCTGCACACCCGACAAAACTCCACTCGCTCTGCACGCTGAGTCTGATCCCGCACGGTATTCGAAACATTTGGAATTGGATTCGGATTTGGATTTTGTGGCCTGATCCTGCTGATCGTCTATGCAGTGTTATATTTTGTTGATTGTCACTGCACTGGAGCCCTCTGATCGTCTTCCAGACCTTTTAAGTTAACGTAAAGGCAACTACATAATCACCATGGTATGAATAAATTGAGGCGTAAAATAAGTATTGTTAGGCCCACTCCTCTTCATACTGTACATTAATGACATCACTACTAATATCTCGTCCTCCATCAGACTGTTTGCAGATGACTGCCTCATCTACAGAGAAATCCAGTCTGAACAGGATGCTGCACTTCTTCAAGAGGATCTTGACACCCTATCAAAATGGTCCCTTGATTGGCAGATGAGATTCAACCCTGCAAAGTGCTCCCTACTCCGTATCACCAAGAAACGTCGCAGTATTGGGACAACATACAGCATGAGAGGGGCTGATCTGCAGCAAGTTGACAATCACCCATACCTTGGCGTGGAATTCTCTTCCAAGATGGACTGGGGTGTACATATCAACAATGTCACAAGCAAAGCCCGGAAATCGCTCAACTTCCTTCAACGGAATCTTTACAAGTGTCCTGAGAAGATCAAGCAGCAGGCTTATACTTCCCTGGTACGGCCAATCTTGGAGTATTCGTGTACAGCATGGGATCCCTACTTCCAGAAACACATTTCAGCCCTTGAATCAGTGCAAAGGAAAGCTGCCCGTTTTGTGAAAGGGAACTATCAGCGTACGGCTAGCGTCAGCCAGATGCTGCAGGAGCTGAAGTGGCCTTCACTTCAAGATAGGAGGACAGTTGCACGTCTTACCATGCTGTTCAAGATCAACTCTCATGAACTCCCGATTACCATCCCAGAGAAGTTTATCCCAGTCACCAACAACCCCAACAGACCAGTCACCCGTAGTCAGAGACCAAGCCAGTACATCAACTACTCTGCCAGGACCGAAGCATACAAGAACAGCTTCTATCCTCGTACCATTCAGCAATGGAATCGACTACCAGCCACCATCATCAAAGAGTCAACATCGGCCAAGTCCTTCAATACCAAAGTTTGGAGCTACATGCAGAATGACCACTCAGCCCAGCTGTACACAGGCGGGATAGAGCGTCAATGTGGCTCTACTTCATCTATAAATTAGATGATGTCTACAACCCACTCATTTTATGAGCACCTTATTATTTTGTTTTTTGAACTTTGCATCAGTTGTGATGTTTGTTGACAGTTTGCGATGCCACGGAAATCTGGACGTATATACCAATTGGTCCTGTCCAGTACCACCTTAGATGTAGATGTAGAAGTAGATCTAGACTCTACTAGTCTAGATCTGACTCTAGTCTAGATCTGACTGAGATTCTGACTGTCGATGCCATCTCACTCTCGCTATCTCACTCTCGCTATCTCACTCTCACTATCTCACTCTCACTCTCACTTCTCAGTCTCACTCTCAGTCTAGATCTAGATCTAATCAGGCCGAAAATTCTGTCTCTTTTGTTCGTTAACCTCTGATTTGGGTAGGGTCAGCTCTAGACCAAAATTTCTGTCTCTTTCATTCGTTAAGCCTCTGATTTGGGTAGGGTCGGCTCCTCTCTTTAGCCGACCGCCTGAGTCCCGATCCTACCAAAATCAGAGGCTAACGAACGAAAGAGACAGAAATTTCGGTCTAGGTCAGCTCAAGTCTGAATTGTCTGTCTCTTTCGTTCGCTAGCCTCTGATTTGGGTAGGGTCGGCTCCTCGCTTTAGCCTACCCTACCCAAATCAGAGGCTAACGAACGAAAGAGACAGAAAATTCGGGCTAGGTCGGCTCCTCTCATTACTGATTTGGGTAGGGTCCTAACCCTACCCAAATCGGAGGTTAACGAACGAAAGAGACTGAATTTTCAGTCTAGAGACCTACTGTATGCATAAAAAACATTTGATTCTCAAAATATCATCTTTTTTAAATTTCTTGATTCTTACTTTGTATTTGTAAGTTTGTTTATATGACTACCGGTAACTTTTGTATTGTTACATTTATATTTGTCTTAATAAAAATATCTTAATAATCAGTGTCAGTTGGCCTTTGAAATTATCCTGTTAAATTATCCTCTCAAATTTTAAGATGAGCTAAGCTACATTGTAGGCTCACCGCACACTAAATGATCCTACTTGATCCATTTTCAAAGAAGATATTGAAAATCAAACAAATGTCTTTCAAAATGAGATTCTGAATATTATAGTCTAATAATCAGAATTCATGTGCATTGAAGCCTTTTAGTTCTAGTCGGAATAAACTACAGGTAAATTGTATACATTTCAGCTTCAAATTGTAGACAATCACATTTCACATGACTGGTCTGACATCGCCACGATTCACGCCTTCTCGGCCAATTTGGATTTTCTTCCGACTGGAAATCTTGCAGTCACTCCAAATTTTGATATGATTTATCACATGATTGTTCAGAACCTTGACCATTCAGGTTTTCTAGCCACAAATTGAAGGCAGATGGTATCGTATGCTGTAGGCACTATGGAAATATTAAGACAATATTAAATTATAAAGTGAGAGAATAGTAAATTTCTCTTTAGAGAAAATCTACATATGAAAACTACATGTAGTATGATTTAAAGCATTAGATTTTTTGTATGAGATGTTCGATTCTTAATGTTTTCCCTTCTGACTCGCACTTCATGTACATGTGATTTTCGTCTAGTCATTCTATTTCTAATATCACAACAAATTATACTGAAGACTTTTTTTCCCTCTTCATCCCACTATAGACCCTTCATTTTACCATGTTTATTTTCTTGTCTTCATTTTTTTTTCTGCAGTCTCACACAATTCTGTTGATTCAGCCGGGAGAGATATCAGACACGAGAACATACACAGATTACAATTCTGTGAGAGAATGTATGGAAGGTAATGTTTCAATTCAATGATTTAGTTCAGTTTAACCCTGGAACATGAATCATTGCCCATTTATTTTAAATGAACCTTTTCTTCTCAGTTGATCCCACCACTATTTTGGAGATTCCAGGAGTCCAAATAAAGTAAATGTGTAAAAATCTAACCGGTTAGGAGCTTTGGATAGCATTAGAACGACAGGCATAAATTTTGTATAGAAAAAAGAGGGATGGTAGAAGAAGGCTATTATGAATTTTGGATGGCAGGCATGGATGAAAGGGTAACACTAACAGAGTAGCAGGGGTAAATTGCTGTGGGTCATCATCATCATACAAGTTTGAACAGATTGGATAATCAACGAGGCCTTCCTTGACTTTGCGGATAAAATCCTGATGGAGATGGTCCAGATTGGAGCAGAGTCCAACAAAGTGCTCCACTGTCTCATCGTCAGTTTTACAAAGAGGGCATGTACAGATAGGGTTTTTTAAGCGTGAAGAGACGGCATTGTGTCAAGTACTTGGATGTGAGTATGTGGGCCCTCACTATAAGGGCTCTTCGGATGGGAGGAGATGGTGGGTTCTTCAGATATAGGAGATTTGCAGAGGGTGGAGTGTTATCTATCCAGAACTTGATAGAGGACTTAGAGCGGATTCCTTGTAGTGTATGGTGTTTTACTGCAAGGTATTTGTATTTGATTATCCTTTTCCAGGTTGAGTACAGAGGTGTTTGAGACGAGGCTATGGAGGTCTGGAAGATCATTCTTTCTCATCACTGTCTCTTGTAGAACCAGTATTATGGGTGTATCTGTGTTGAGGGCTTCTAAAAATGTTCTTAACTCAAAACGCTGTGGTCAAGCTTGGTCAGTTGACCTAGAAGCAACAGCCTGCCGAGGTCTATCTGCATGGAAACTGGCAGGAGGTTGGTGAGCAGATAGACTATCTCATCAGCAGCAGACTTCGGCACCCCTAATATCTGTTTGAAAAGATGTGATTGGGCCCTATCTAGTTTCAGCAGCATTGATTTTGTGAATATGATTATGGATGAGCCATGTAACATTTTCAGAATGCAGAAGGTATTCCACAGTTGGGATATAAGTGTAGGGATGAAACCACCAGTATATGCACTATTATGCACCAGTACCAGAGAGGGCGTAGAAAGTATGGAGACCCGTTCCAATGATGTTATCTGTGGGGTCATGCCTTGCGCCGTATTAGGTGCAGATGACTGACTTTCTCCTCAATAGTTGACCCATTGACTACCCAAGACGAGCATGTAGGTTGCTTTGTCTTACTGGTTACAATTTATTTATTTATTTATTTATTTATTCATTTCCTCTCATAGGGTGGATGGCCCTTTCAGCACAGCTGATTTTCAAAGGGGTCCACAAACATAAAAACAACAATAAATATACAGTGAATTATACAATAATATGTAAAACGTTGCAAATGCAAGAAGTAAGGCAATGAATATGTACATGTATAGTCAAACAAATAAATATCTAACAGATTAAAGTACAAAACAAACAAGCAATAAGACAGTTGATTGCAGATATTCAACTAGGACGACAACAAGCATACAATCACTGCACTTTTCGAAAAATTGATTTTGTAATGCCAGAACCTTGTAGTATACACCAATACTTATATGGTAGATGATCAAGCTTTTCTGATGGATTCCATAACGCTTCTTTCACAATGCAATTGCATGACCAGAACTCAACTTTATCTTTAATGTCAGACACATACATGTAATGGAACCAGTCGTCATTTGTCATATTTCCTGCAGAGTTTGAATATTACTGCTGACATCTTTTCATGGCAAATAACATGAATTTTGAGACTCTCTTTGACCTTTGAAACTCATTTTTAAAGATTCTTGTATTTGAATTGTTGTCATGTTTTATTCGTATCTGTACATGATGTATCTCAATTGTTCAATAAAAAAAGAAAGATAAGAAAGGAAAAGAAAATCATATTCAGATAATGGACCATTTCGTATAAAAGAATGGATTTTTTTTTTTTTTAAACATTTATAAATGACATTCATTTGAAGTAGCAAAAAAACACAAATATTTACAGTATCAGAAAATGAAATTGTCAAACCTCACATTTTCCATTTCCTTTTCCCTAAAATTGATATCTAATTCAGGAATCTGTCGGATCTTTGAGGAGCATCTGAAGAGGTTGCATCCTAACAGCCCATCCATCACATATGACATCAGTGAGCTGTTTGACTTCATTGATAACCTCACAGACCTGAGCTGCCTCATGTGAGTTTGGGACCAAACAAATATATATATATATACATGTATATATATATATGTCCTCTTATCCCCCGGGAAGAAATTCCTGGATCCGCCCCTGTTCCTATTCCATGAAACTTGAACATAGGGGTTATCAAGTATCAAGTTATCAATCATGTGATTAGTCTTTTAGGTGACAAAGTCAAGGTCAAAGGTAATTTAAGGTCTGCAAACTGAGACTTTGTTGTGGTATCAACATCAAGATTTTGAATTTTTAGCATAATTTCAAAAGCGTGTGTTCAAATTTCATGAAACTTGTACTCAGGGTTTTCAAGTATCACAAATCATATGACGCAAATTCCAGGTCACAATATCTAGAGCAAAGGCCATTTTAGGTCAGTAGAATGAGAATTAATAAATCAATTTTTATTCTTCGATCATATTCCATTAAAGTTATCAATCTTGGTACAAATTATAGTAAATAATTGTTCTGATGATTCTTAGCCAATATTCACTTCAAAATGCTGATTATATTCAGAGGTGTTTTTTTTTTTTTTCGGGGGGTGGGGGGGGGGGGGGGGGGCCTGCTAATGGGCCACCCTAGCTAACCCTGCCTATAAATAATGTTCCAACCTCAATTTTTCATCATATCGATTGCGTAAGGCAGGCCAGACCGCCGAGAGCGTTTCCCTTGTTAATTGTACTCGGCTACCTCACCTGGGCTAAGTGCAGATTCATATCGTGCCTAATGGTGTTAGTGCCAATGGCTCTCTACAACACCTGTAAACCATTTGCATTAATATCAGTCGTAACAATCGATTGGATGACCCAGAGATTTTTACAAAGATGTATTGTATTAAATATATGTACGTGTGGCTTTGATCCTTATACATGTATCATTGTTTGTACAAGTTACATTACCCAGGGTAAATTACATAACAGACTACATGTAATTGCTTTCTTCTATTCAACCGTGCATACTTATCAAATTTCTCTGTAGACTAATTTAGTACCGGTATAATTCTTTGGTTTCATCAATAATAACTAGTCAGTGATGTAGTGGTATTTCTTTGTTCTTATTTCACCCCAGCTTCCAACCGACTGCAAACATGTATGTTCCTGTGAACAAGGATTGGATCAAGGAGAAAATCTATCTCACACTAAGAAAGCAAGCTGCCAAGTGATGACTCTCTCTAGGTCCAACACATCACACTTGAACTTTGAACTTTTGATGAGAAATTGCCAAAAAAAAAGATGGAAAAACGTTGATTGAGATCATATTGTGCCGTATCTGAGAGGAAGTCTTTAACTTGGAGTAATCATCTTTTTTCACACTCATCAGTGTAATTATATTTTTCTACCAATATCATTGTGAGCAATGGGATGAACCATTGAAATATTTTAGTTGACTATTCTCGCTTCATTTTGCGACAAACATTTTTTCATCTTCTTTTGAGGGAGCGATGGGATTATGCTATTTGCACGTTAAGAATTAAGTTGCTTCTTGATCCATAGGAACCAATTATCAGACCTGACCAGTGAATAACGATTTACTTCTAATTAGGTGACAACTTTTCTTGTTGAAGAATTTGTTTGTTGATAATTAGATATGCCATCAGATGATCAGACCATTTTTCTGTTTATGAAAAGTAAAAATGCTTGTTAGGTGGAGGGAGAATAAGCTGCTTGTAATTTATGCCACTTTTTCATTATATGCGTGTTTGGAATTGCTGGATTGGGATAATTTTGTTTTCTCTTCTTTTGTTATTGTTAAATCCAAAGCGGAACTTGGACAGATAGAAAAGTATTAATTATGTTGTTACTGTGCTTTTTAGTGTTGTAATGTAAGTTTCCATACTGCAAAATGGATCCATAAGTAAGAGCATTCTGATTTTCTAGATTGATGTTGATTTCTATCTTTTTCCTTTTTTTTTTAAGGTAATACAAAGTTTTGGGAAATTTTGAAAATTGGGTGGATAGTGATTCTCTACAATTTTGATATATTTTGATGCCCCTGTAGATGTACAAGCACTAGAAAATTTAGCCCTTAAAACAATTCTGCTTTTGAGTAAAATTGAATATCAAAATTTACCGGTGCTCCCGGTAAATTTTGAAAAATTTCAAATAGCGCTTATGCCCATACAATTGTAGCTGCGACCATGCAAATCTCAGAATATGTAGTTGTGACATATAATTTCCAAACGGAAATAGCCAATCGGTCAAGTTTAGTCAAGAAACATTGTTTTATGGCTTAATTAAGCCATTGAGAGGGAGCTAACAGCATAAAGTGTTTATTATTTACAATTTCACAACTTTAGACTCAATTTCAACCACGACAACGATCACTGTATATTGTAGGATCGCATATGCTTCAAATATGTTCATTTGAACCAAATTCATGGCCCCATACCAAAGCTTTGTATTACCTTTAAGGCTTAAAAAGTAATTGTACTGTGTACTGGTAATTTCGAAAAATAATTTTCCAGGATCAAATGAAAATTCCATTGCATGTTCAAAACTACAAAAGAAAGGTTGATCTACCAAATGATTGTGTTAGAAATTCATGAACATAACATTCAAAGAATGACTGAAGACAGATGGAGACACCAAGCAACTTTTCCTGACCAATGCATTACACATTTTCAAATGTGCAAATGGAAGTTGTGTTTTTCTGGCAAAGTGGTTATCCAGGAAGCTTTCAGTACATATGGGTTGTTTATATTTGGCTGGGTCCTAACAACTCATCAGAATTTCTGTTTGCCACTTTCTCTTCAAATTAGTTGTGTGACTGAAACCCAAGGTTGTTCAAGCAAGCTAAATTGACAGTACTACTGAGCCGATCTTCAAAAATATTATATTAAAAAATGATAAAGATCCACTGCTGGGGAAGAATTTCTAGTTATGAATTCTCCTCCCAACCCAAACTGAATGCTCTCTCCAATCTTTAAGCCATGCTTTTCTAAAGCAATATCAATACAATGTTGTACCAGTGTCCTAAAGTGTTTGTGTGCAAATGAGAGGTTTTACATGTGAAATACATTTGTTTAGAGTATTAGCAGGATCACCTTTAACTGTAATTATTTTTAGGATTTATTTTTCCTCAAAATAACCAGAAATAATTGTTTTTATCATTGTACTATTGCATTTTTTTATCACTATTATGTCAGATAGAGTATTGTAAGTTGAATCTTACACTAACCAAATACATGTATACTGTTTGAAATCTATCAAAAATGTTTTTATGATGATTGGATGATTGTTTTACCCGACTACCTACTAAGAAACCATGTACATGAATATGTTTGTAAGCATCCAGGGGACTCTGTGGGACTTGGTAATGAGGATTAATGCCTGACCAAAGATCACTAGGGCATCAACTTTGTTTCGAACCCAGGACCTCCCAGTTACTAGACCACTAACTGAGCCATCGCGCTTCCAATTTTATGGAAATTCATGATGGTGTTAGGCATTGACTGTAATGATGCAGAGCTTAAACTTTCTCTCTATGTACTTTCAGTGCATGATAAGTCATAAATTATGAAAATACAACCTAAAAAGGTACTTGTAGTGGAATAAGTTTTCAATTGCCCTTCTACTTCAACTACGTGTTCGAGTGGCTAACCTGAAATCTATCTAAAAAGTATTTTTGTAATTTAAAATATTTTTAAAGATATTAAGTTTTTCTGAAACAAAAGATAATTGAATATGTAGAATCATCAAAATGTCAATATACTTAGAAGTGTAAGTTTGAAATGCTTTTATTTTTATCATTTATCCCACATGAACCACTTCTGTAAATTTTAAGTACCAGTTTAGGACAAAATGGTATGTGACAGATACTCACAAGATTTGTATTAGTTATTATGTAAGTATTAACAAGGTGAGTTTTTTTTTTCTGGGGGAGTTTGCATCTTAGACAGTATTTTGTTTGCCTGAGATAAAAAAAAATTGTGCTCACTTTTGTTTCAAGGAAGGAGTCATCAAATGTCTTTAGGAAGTGTATGTTGAATCGTGTCTACTCTGGTCGTGCGCCCTCTGCTTTCATTATTTTACAGTCGCAAGTCACTTGTTGACAACTTTGGGGCAACTTTTTAAAAGTTAGTTAACATGCTTTTATTTCTTGTAAGTAAGGTATTTGTACTTTTAACAAATATGTTGTGTATATACATATGTTACTTGTCAAGTACATTGTATAAGAAACAATTGAGTTTCTTCATTGTTCCTTTTAAGAAGAATAAAATAAACATTTTTGAATAAAAATCATTAAAAAATGCCTTCGTTTTAAATGTTTACTAGTCATTTTGTTATTAATTCTCCTTTAATTATCTATGAACCACACCCATTATGTACATACACATGCACCCCTACACACACATATGATTTAGGAAAATACAAAAAATAAAACAACAACAAACAATTTGTTGTCTTTGATTGTAGGCAGACAAGACTTCTCCGGGGACCAATGGATCGGATTTGAAGCCTATTTTATCTGCTTGGGATATAGTTTCCCACAAGGGTTTATAAATCTATGTGATTAAGGTTCTTCGGGTTGTCGTCACATCTTTGTCAAAGATTTACCAACCAGATGTGCTCGGGTTCGGGTCGCCTTTCGTGGTTGTTGACGGATGAAAATATGGAGTATTCTCGTACATGTGTTTTTCTAGTCGCCCGAAGAAAATTCACAACTGATAATATTATTGACAAATTATGGATGGAAAGATTTTCTCTTGAAAAAAAAACACGAATAATTTGCTGAAAAATCATATATATCATGGAAAGGCGTAAAATGCAGTTTTGTGGCTAGTTATGTCTAGCATGTGACGTAACGAATCTTGACGCTCTACGGAGGACCGCTGAAGGCAAAAAATCTGGATTTAAAAACATTTTTGAGAGATGATTACTGCAGGCCCCAAACATATTTTGAAGAGGGAAGTTGTTATATTTGATTAGTAAGGCTTCCACTTCGCAATGATACGAATTTGGCATCAATTCAAAACACTTTTGATTCTTCGGGTGACTACATTAAAGTGAATTCTGATTCCGTGCTTATATTCATCTTCATTTGACTATTTTCACTAAAAAGAGAATAATTAAGGATGTATTTGACAGTATTTCTGTCTCTATTAACAACTAGTAACCCTAATCTCAAAGTAGACCTACTGATTAGATTCAGAATAGGATTTAATTTTCTGTTGTGCTCCATCATCTGAATATTACAATCTTTTCAGGAGAATAAGCTTACCTGATTAAAGGGCAGAAAACAGTACCACAAAAAACACTGAGACTTATTTATTTTGTCAAAGAAAGGGCGGCTCAAATTCAATTGACACCCCGTAACTTTCAGACTTAATATTACTCGAACCCTCTCCATCCTCCAAAAATATTTTATGTGTTCATTTTTTTAAACATAGAAATATAGGATTATAACCCCAAATAGCCTGCTTTTACTGTTTTAATTTGATTCGATTTTAATTCTCTTTACATTTTTCTATAAAGTCTTGTAAAATCCTCATTTCAAAAAAAGGAAAATTAACATCTTCACGAATGAACACAAGAGTATCGCAAGATTTGATTATAAATTTACATCGTGGTGGATTATAGTGTTACATTTAATCCTCTCCTCGAAATAAAGGCAACTGGTGTTTTTCAAAATTTCAAAAGGTCTTTATTAAGATTGCTCTTTTAGGGGGTGGTGGGTTAGACGGCATATTTTGTGTCCAACTACCCCCCCCCTTAAAATCTGTTATGGTGCCCTATGATGGAAGATCATGTGTTCGGACGTTTAACAAAAATACAGTTGTCACTTTTGCCTAGAAAAGGTATGCATAAAGCAGCACTAACTACCATAAACATTCGACCTATTGTCTAACATAAGTCTTGAAATATTATGAAATGAAATACCTGACACACGATGTGGGGATATCATGTGCTAAGTCGGATAGTGCAATGAAATTGCCTCTAGCACTGAAACCTGATCTTTCGGGAACATGGACCGATGAATACGAGACCTACATAGATTTAGGGTACAGAGTATTTGTTACATATTTTTTTACTACTTGAAGAAGTATGCAAAAAGCAGAAGAAATTATAATATGACAACAAAAGCTTATGACTGCCTGTAATGCCTTTAAGTTTAACGGCATAACCCATAATTCAGGCGCGTAGCCAGGGGGGCGGTGTGGCAGTCGCCCCCAGGCGCGGATCCACGTGGCAATTTTTTCCGGCCTGGACCCCCCCCCCCTAGCCCCCAAAACTGTTTTGGTAAATGTAAATTTAACCCTTTTTAAAACAAAAAACAAAAGCGCCCCCCTCCCCAAATGAAATTATATTTTCGCCCACACCAACAAAAATTAGTGGTTCTCCTTTAGATCAACCCCCCCCCCCCCCCCCGCTTATTCACCGGCTGGATGAGTCGGCGCTAATTTTTTTTCTCAAGATTTCGGCCCCGGGCCTCTTGTCGTCGGCTGGATCCGCCCCTGGTCGCTCCCCCCCCCAAAAAAAAAAGGGAAAGAGAGAAGAAGAGAAAAAAGGAAGAGGACGTAGGAAGAAAAATTAGCAGACATAGAAACATTTTTTGTAATTCAGACGAGGATTAAGAGTCGAGAACTGTACAACGAATCGTCTTCTTTCTCTAATAATTTATTGAAACGTCAAAGCTCCCTTCGCGCGGGAGGGGGGCGGGGTTACTGAATTCAGACAATGATTAAGAGTCGAGAACGGTACAACGAATAGTCTTCTTTCTCTAATAATTTAATTAATGAAACGTAAAAGCTCCCTTTGCGCGGGAGGGGAAAACTCCCTCTCCCTACACGCGCTCCCGGCCCCTAGGAAAGTGATTCGTACCGGCTTTGAATGCTCACTATCGCCCCCCCCCTTAAAATAAAATCCTAGCTATGCGCTTGCCATATTTGGATCTTTTAATAAATAGATAATAA